GAGGACCATAATTAAGTCTCAGCACACATGTGTGTGGGCTGGAAAGGCAGATTGACTAAGAAATGAAAACAGCATTTCTGGATGGCTCCAGAACAATAAAATATTCTTAAACTAATCTACCACCCCCACACACAGCGCCACATGTAATGGTAGATGCATCAGCACTGGCAGCTATTGATAGATGGCCTTTCATTCCATGCTAGGTTAGCTAGCATCTGTCCCAGCTCTCCTTTGAATTAAAGGCTGAATCTGAGTAATGGGCCAAATTAAAAAAAAAAAAAAAAAAAAAAACTTGCCCAGCCAGTCTTACGTGGAGAAACTGACTTAATTCCGGGTGCGATTTTAGGATCGATGCGAGTGCAGAAATACAGCTCACTGCACCACAGCAGAAGTAAATTGGTCCCATATTATCTTGGAAGAAAAACTGTTGTGTTTTACTTGCGTGTGGACCAAATGTATTCTATAAATAAGGGAATAAAGCGGATTAAATGAATTATTAAAAGACCAGCTCTGAAATAAGTCCATTCTATTCATCCCTCAATAATAAGAAGAGAAAGCACAGCTTTTAAAGTCCTTTTTTGGACACCAGTGTATATTTACTGCATCATCATAGCACCACGTGCCAAGTGAATCAAGTAGGGAGGATGTAAAAATCTTGATTGGCATAGAGAGGTTTGCGCCATGAAGCTGCTTCGCTCTAGCGCCTACTCCGATGTGCAGGGCTGGCAGTGTAGTGCCGACACTTGCTGCCCACGTTCAGCAGATCAAAAGCATGCTGAGGACCCCGTGATGCGATCGCTTTCCGAGTTACTTCACAATTGCACGCTGAAACAAGCATAGAACAGGGCCAGAGTACTGGCGGTCCCCATGTTACAGACAAGCTCTGTTTACTAAGTCTGCTTTTAAGTTTAATGTGTAGGTTAGTTGGAAAAATTATAAAACAGTACATAATAATAATTATACAATAATAATAAAAGGCACTGCATTCAGTACTGTATTGTACTTTGAGCCGCCGAAACGCTGAAGCGCACAATGTTTTGAAGTGTTGCAGTGTAGTGTGTGCGTTCATTATTACAAACCATTGTATTTAACCTGAATTTTTACTACAATAGGCTTTACGACAAGCATTGTTGTCCCTTAGTTGGCTGTTCTTAACCTGCCTGCAATCCATTTAAATAGAACACTACAGAGGAAAGTCAAATTACACTCATTTTTTAATTCCTGGTAAATTAAGGTCAATAAGTGAGGTCAGTGTGATGGTAAACGTGATCCATAAACAGGCCCGTCATCAGAAATTCTTTCATGGCTTTTGCTGACCATAAACGGAGTGGGTTAAAAAAAAACATTCAGTTCAGACTTGCAGTTTTAACCCGTAGATGGACAGATACTGATGTAGGCATCACAACAAATCGTATAATCCGCTCACTCTTATGGCTTCACTCACCATCACGACACACACAAATGCCAAACCTGGACCATAGGCTGCGCCGACATACGTCTCATTCAAGGTCAGTTCAGGGTTTTTCAGTTTATTTAGCACAGAATGCTTGATAAAGCTACCAGCATTCACCACAACCACACCTGTCATCTGCTAACCTGGCAGGAAACAATTTCACACATCAAACTGAGCTGTGCATCATGTCGAAAGGGGTTCCCAGGCTTAATTAAAGGACGGGCATAATGAAGCTTTACTGCTTCAGATGATGCAATGTGGGATGGCACTGATATGCTTACTGTCCCAGTTTGTTTTGGGCAATTGCTGTTTTGACTTTGTGTTTCTTTGTCCTTCCGTTTGCCATCTGTCTGCTCTGGCATTCAATCATATTTTCATAATTGTAAAAGGCAGCAACATTCCCATCAAAAATTCTACTGAAATTAATGTTTTGTTTTCTGAAAGACCCATTGTCACCTACAGTACATATAGTATATGCATTCCAAGATCCACTAGTAAAATACCATTAGGTTGTACAAGATGATTAAGGCTTGTAGTCCACTCCCTTTTAGCACTGTCTTCTGTTTTGCTGCCTGTTGTATGTAAGATTTGCTAATTCGACTGGGACTACTTTTCAAAATAAAAGCTGTACCATCAAGAGTATTTACATCTATCTTCCGATTTCTCTTCCACTTCAATGTCACAGGAGACACAGGAGCTCATCCCAGACAGCAAAGAGGATATAAGCAGACACACACTCATACACACAATTACACACTGTGCAAATTTAGAGACACCAGTTCACCTAACTGCATGTCTTTGGACTGCATGACGAATCCTGTAGAGCAAAGGCTAAACATTCAAACTCCAAACACACAGAGTGACATGTGAGCCACAGAGCAGTGCTACCCATTGAGATTTGCCAGTGGTATATTTTAAGATTTAAGGGTGGTAAATATTATTATTTTTAAGAATTAACTAAATATGTCTTTAAAAAGAAATATGTTTGGAGAAGACCTGGAAATGCTCCTTAGTTCACAATGAAATCGTTTCCAATTGAAATGTTCCTGAGATCACAATGAAATCATTGAAATATTACTCGGGGCCAGTAATCATGTGGAACCAATATGACAGAAAGAGGATACACAAATCATCGGAATCCTTCACATAGGTTCCTGGTCTCAACTGCTGTCATAACATCTTTGTAACATCATCCTAATTAATATCATTTTGCAAGCCTTTTTTTTCTTGACAGTGCATGGAAGACAAGCAATTTGATTTAGGTGTAGGGAGGCTTAAGGTTTGTTTTGCAAGGAATACCGATCCAACCCAGTGTGACAATAGTTTGAGTGACATTGTAGACTTTGCTGGGTGTCTGGTTTTCTAGCAATAATGGTTGCTTGTCTCCATTGGTTAAGCCTCGATTTCAAGTGACAGCTGCAAGGAGGACACGAGAATGTTCAAGAAGTGAATGTTCAACCAGGCGTAGGTAACGAAAGTCAGAAGGCAAGGCAACATGATACTTACAAATGTCAGGGACCAGCAAACTTTAACCAGATGTAATGAGAGACTTACAGTCGGAGGTGTACACATGATTGAGGCATTCAGAATGAACAGTTGTTGGAAATAAATGCTCAGAACAAGAATGAGCATGACCCTTTGACCTCCTGGATTTATGATGAGGTCATTGGGATAATGAGGTTTATTACACCTGAAAAAACCTTCCAGAAAAAGGCTTTGATGTAGCACTGAAATGGTTTCAGCCTCTCATTTACACCCATCCTGGACGTGTTTGCTGTAAAATGCCTTGGTGCAGCATGATTAGGATTCTTTCCACTCTTTACTGGTTATGGTTAAAGGTCGATTTGTTTCTGTGAGGTCCCAACCTCTATAAACCTGGGGTAAAAAGGTTTGTTGATTGGCCTAACCCTTGCCCTCTTAGCTGGTCGATGCCGGAGAGCTGGTATGTGATTACCTCACTGATTACCCGTCCCAGGCAGTGGCCATGAGGGCAACTAGGAAACTCTTGAAATTGGCAGACAACAGGCCAATACCAGCTCCATGTAGAACAATGTTTGCTGACACAACTGCATGGAGACAGAAGGACCTCCATTTCAAACAATAAGCATTCAGTCAGGCAGGACAGGACAGCCACTAGTTTTTGCTCACAGACTGCATCTGAATGGAAGATTCAAGAGTATGGTAGCCATTGGGAAGCAGTATATACAATTCTCTGATAATTTATCACGCTTTATCAAGATTATACAGCGATTCCCACCCCCTGCCCCCAACCAAAAAAGTAAATAATTTGTCCACACTCCCTCTGTAGACATTTATATTCCTCCTGAGCTGCATTCATAAATTCTGACATTCTCTTAACCTTCTTGAGTGTCTGAGGTTTCCCTGTTTATAGAATTCATTCTGCAATTCAATATGCTTTTTAGTCAATGCAAAGCCATCCCTCTTTTTCATCCCATCCTTCTATTCTTTTTAATGCCCATCTACTCTCTGCCTGTAGAATGAGACTCATTATCTCAATCTGTCATCACCGAATCTGCCTTCATAGCCTTGGGATCTGTGAGCTTGCCCATTACTTAAAGTCTCTATGAAGGCTGTAGCATTTCCCTTAGGCCACTTTTTCTGAGTCCCGCAAAGGGAGTATGTCAACTGAAATAGCAACTGATGGGTTTTCAACTTATTCCTGCACATAAGGCCCATACCAGCACTTCATTTAATAATCTCAACATTTCTATAGTCAGGAAAAGGTGACCACCAATTTCAGAATACATAGACAGAGTATAAATATTCCACAGGCATACTTATAGTATGAGTCAAAACTTTGGACATACTAAGTCACCTACAGTATGAAAGAGAGCAATGCTGTCACATCACATGACCTGTCCACCTGACAACCCAGGAGAGATGGTTTTGGAGAAGCTTGACTGGAGATTGAAGGAAAAGCAGCCAATGAGTACTCCTTCAAGCTCCCAGGAGGCCACCTCATGTAACTGGCATAGAGAACAATGTACGGTCAGCCAGTCTCTGGTGAAACTGGGTTTAAGGGCCATGTTCAAGGGCCAAATGGTGACATCACTCTGCCAAGCACAGGATTTGAACAAGCAACATTCTGAATCCCAGCCCACAGAGATGCCCCCCGCCCAGCAGATTTTTTTTTTTTTAAATACATTTTTATATTATGTTATAGTTTTGATGTCTTTATTATTATTCTAAAATGTAGAGAATAGTACAAATAAACCTTTCTATGGGTAGATGTGTCCAGACTTTCAAATGGTACTATACAGTACATATTATAAAGACCCACAACTCCTACCCTCAAGGGCAAGTAGAGAATATTCTTATATTACATTTTACTATTTAATCTAAGCAATCACTTCAACAAAGAAGTTAATGACAAAACTGAGCAAAGACTGCAGTTATGCACAGCACGCAAACTCATCAATGCACCGTCGGCTGACATTTCAGCAACTTCAGCAACGTTTGGCAGCAGAATACAAATGAGCATTAGAGGTACCGAAGTTGGATCTGGCAGTAAAATCACATGACGTACCCATGTGGCTCCGATACGATGATGCCATTGTCATGCGTCCCCATAGAGAAACCATGCAGAGGGTCAGCAGCAGCAGCCACTTACACCAGCTCCGTAGGTCTCCCTCCCGCATTCTGCAAGGCAAACGAGTCAGTCAATCTCTGATGCCACTAAGGAGTGAGATGGTGAGGAGAAGGTCGTGTGTAACAGAGCATAACAAAGTGGGAATAAATGCTCAACAGGACGCTGGAGATGCCTGCCTGACTTACTCTCCGTTACACAGAGTGAGAGGCCAGTCTTTGCTCAATATATGGCATATAAAGAGCTAAAAGTGAATGATATTATTCTTGTGTTACTTTGTTTCATTGGCCTTGTACCAGGGGTCCAATTTTCCTGGTATTGTGCAGCTGTAGAATGCTTTATAGCAATGCGAAAATGGACCAGAATACCAGTTTACTTGATTTAACGTTAATTGATCTGTAACTGATTTATACTATGTGGGCCCAAACCACAACCATGAGGTCGTAAAAAAAGTCCAGATTTCAGGCAACTAATGTTGAATGCTAAGAAGATAAAGGCACTAAAAGATTTAATTTTATAAAGAAAATCAACAGCCTTCTGTTGCCATGTGGTCTAATTACATAACACAACCTTACTCCCTCCCTGTGTCGCCACTAGCTGTTCAATAGAAAGGTAATGAGTATGAAGTATCTGTGTTGAACTTGGACAAACTCTGCTGTGGTCCAGGACCAAACAACGCAAAGCAAATGGAGATTTTGTTGCACTTAGGAAACAAAGGACCTATGATGAGAAGGTTTGATAGTAACATGATCACTGTTTTTCTTTTTTTTTGAGAGACAGTGAAGAAAAAAAGCTTGAATTCTGGAGGTGGAGGAGCAAAATATCAGCATAAATTTCCATTTCCATGAACAGCAAGATGAATTACAGGCTTCAGTCCAGTCTAAGGCTATATAGTTTTAACTGGACCGAAAAGAATCATCAGCTCAGCAGTTCAGTAAAAAAAATCCTTCAAAACTGTCATTGTTTCTAGGCATCGATAGGTAATGAAAGACTGGTTTTAAATTTTGCATTTTGTCATTGTGTGCTTACATATATACAAATATTAGTACAACTCGGGTATCTTTCCAGAATACTTTTATAGACCATTATAGGCATTGATTACTCACAAAAACTAAGGAAATACCTGCATTTTCCCAAGAACATTTCTTAAAAGAAACATACTACTAACGATTACAGAAAGTACAGAAAGCATTCACAGCCATTGAGCCATTCTTTACAATTTGTTGTATCTCAAGATTTTCTCTGAATTGTAGCTAGACAGGAGCATGCAATCTTTATTTTCTACAGAATAACAATTGTGACAGCGGGTCTCGACTCTGACCCAGAGGGAAGGACGGTTCTGAATAGCATCTGTTCAGAAAACATAAAATCAAGGAGGAAGGGAGGAGTCAGCAAGGCCGTGTGAAAGCAGCGCAGGTAGATACTGAAGGTTTATGACTCGAGGGCCCAGGTTGTAAGAGTCAAAGCAGCACACAACCTGACCGTCGGTAGCAATCGAAGCATGCTGTGGGGCAGGTAAACACTTTGCGGTTTGAGGGCAAAACAAAAGGAACAGTTTAGCCTTGTTTTTCTTCCTTCCCTCATGCAAAGCAGCCGACTTTAAACAAGTTGCTGTGTACGTGACTTGCCATGGCCCACAGCAATCCGCACTTCATCTCTGCATCCTCCCTCTATTTAAAACTTTGCAAAATCACTTGTGATGCAGTAAGAATATCATTAATACACAATAATGGTTTCTCCTGCAGTCTGTACCATATGCTATTTCTTACAAGTCGACATCTTACAACCATAACATTCTGCACCTATCCACAACCCCAAACACAACTACTAAGAACTCTATGCATCAATAAGAATTGCCGATCGCTCAACTTACTTTTCTAAGACTATCAAGCAATTAGCCTGAAGGCAAGCTACATAGTCAAGCCACGATTGAAGTGTCCTTGCGTTTGACTCCCAAGAACATTGATATTCACTCACCTTGTTGAGGAATGAGTACACTTCATTATGTCTAATCGATCTGAGCCAAAGGCTTTTAAGATTCACTGTTTATTCGTTTCTAAACATTATTAAGTGGCTGGCACTGTAACAGGTGTTTTGTGTATTTATTTACTTGTTTATTTTAGATTGTGTCACATAGGAGGCAACTGCAGTGCCTTTGAAAATGCATGGATAAATAGATGAATAAAATGAAAACACATTTTCATCATTATACTTTAATAAAAACAACAACAACAAGAGAGAAAATGGGATGGTGGCAAATGGCAATAAAGCATAACCCGATTTAAGTGAGTCAGCAACGCAGGGCCACAGTCTAGCTAATATCACGGAGGAGAGAAACGGTTTGAGATGCGCTTTCCAGCCTTCCTCACTCCGCTAATTAGTCCCTTTGGAATCCATCTTTGCAGATGGTGGGATGCCTGAGACAAATATATTTCAGTTCTATGTGTGAGACTTTTCTGCTAGCAGCTATGGTAACTGGAATGCTCTAGATCCAGAACAGGGGTTGATGCAGAGTCGAGTGAAGTCCATCTGGCCTTCATGGGTTATTTTTGAGGTTAGCAGCATGATGGAGAAAGTCATAGGAAACAGGTAATTATGGACAGAAATTATTTATGTGTTGCCCTGCCTTTGGCATTAAGAACTACTTCATTGCATCATGACAGACATCTTATTAATTTCAGTTCGTAAGCTTTTGGTATATAGGAAAAAAAAAACATGCTTTAAAACATTAGCATTGTTAAACTTCAGTTTATAAAAGGGCTTTGATCCAACTCTGAATTATAATTCATCAAAAAAAACATAATACTTGTTACATTCAGGTGTAATGGCTGGATAGGGAAAGGAATCCAACCACAGGTGAAGCAAGTTTATTTCCGGAATCGTGGTCCGTAAAAATCTGACAACAGCAAATGAAGGCAAACAGCCAAACCGTGATCCAAATCCGGCGCCTAAACACAGACATACAAAATCAAATAACTAAGTTCAAGTCACAGAGGAAGAAAACAAGGAAACCAACCAGGAGCCATACAGTGAAAGCAAGTCATGCAACAGGCAATCAGTGTGGAGGAACACTCAGTACTTCACAAGGAGTTAACTGAACCCAGATGGTTTTAATCTGGCCCAGTTGACCAGGCTGATTATCTGCACCTAGAATTCAGGTGACGCAGAATGGGAACTGACTGGACTTGGCTGAATGGATGCTTATAGGTGTGACAGTCAGGGCCTGTATTGCTAAGTAAGATTTGTCAGTTAGCTACCTTGTCGGATTTAAGGTACAGTACTTTTGGCTAAATGTAAGTGAACGAAGATAAAGTCCATTTAAAGTGGGGTATCTGACACGTTATCCAGCTAAGCAAGAAATACTGCCTCATGATTCAGGCCCCTGGGGCTCTGTGATAGCTATTTTTCTGATGTGTCCCACAAATCAAAAGATTAACATATGCTGTAGCCACATACCATTTTGAGAACTTTTTTTGCAATAGTAATACTTTGCAGTTTAAGATGATTGAGGAGCTTCTGAGTTTTATGGCTCTTGCTGCTGATGGCAGTAGGGCTTTAAGCTGTCCAGGAATCTCTCACATAGTCTGCCCAAACCCAACAGGTAGGAACAAACCTGTGGCCTTTCAGCAGCATGCAGGCTGGACTTTGGCAAGTTCAGGCTTTGACTTAATGCTGCTGAAAGAGCTGACATACGAAGGGATGGCAACCTCTGCCCGTGCTTGGGATTCAAACCTAGTTTTCAAATCCAGAGCTCTGAGTGTAGTGAAAATATTACTTACTGGCCCAAAGGTGTTTGAAAGACATATAGTTCAAGGTTTAAAAACTTCCTCCTGAAGTTTCTTCCAGGATAAAATGTTCTTTGTGCTAGATGCTACGCTCTTTCTTTAGTAGAGTAACTGATTAGCGGAAGCATTTCAGATGTATCTGTCCCACATCAAGGGTCTTCAGCCTTCAATGGAAAAAAATAATGCTGTCCAATAGAAGCATATGTCAGCCTTTAAGGATACCTAGAACCCATTTATAACATTTCTTAATATTCCATCAGAATAAACTTAATTAAAATATAGCCTCAGTGCAAAAAAAAACGTGTATATCCCCAGAATTAACCCCTCCCCCCCCTCCCTCTCCGTACACATACACACGGTCTTCAGCCTGATCACAGTGATTATTTGGATATCATTATCGAAACAAACTTCCTCAAGTGCCTGTACCTTATTAAATCGAAGGTAGACCACAGCACTTCCAAATCTGTCAATAGATATTAACTATAGCATGCTACACTTTGGATTGCAAGGTTGTCAATGACTGTTTTCTGCAAATTTCCAACCAATGCTGGCCCAGGAAGACAACATAGAGTGTCATGGCCATTCTAGCATGAGTGAGTGTATCTCTTGGTGGTAGATCTGCCGCAGGTTTATGCACAGTTCCAGCACTTCGTTGCCAAGATTAGTCCATCCATATGAGTCTCACTACAGTGGCACAGTCGTCAGCAGGGGCAGACAACCCTGATCCTGGAGTGCTGATATCCAGCAGGTTCTCTATCCTACCTGATGAATTACTATTCGCTTGAGATCAGGTGTGGTTTATCAGAGACCTGGTGGGATGGAAAACCTGCTGGATGCCGGCACTCCAGGATCAGGGTTGCCTACCCCTGGTCTAGATGCATGCAGGCCCATTATGTTTGTTTACCCAATGCTATACAAAATTGATTATCATTCGTTTCCACAGCTGGGTGGCTACTTTCTAAATGAGGTTTACATCTGTTGCTCATGACATAGTGATCAGAATTTGATTCGGCAACGTTAATTGTGTCCCATCAAACGCTGCATGATGAGATGAAATTTAAACTTCATGACAACTTTGCCGAACAGGCTGTCATAAAGCCTATTATATTAAAAATTCAAGTCAAATAGAACGGCTTGTGATAACAAATGCACACGCTACTTTGTGATACTCATGAAAAGATTGTGCAGCTTCAGCAGTTTGTCAGTCCAAGGTACAGTGCAGCATCGTATGTAGGTACTTTATTATTATGTATAATTATTATAATAAT